ATGTTCAATATTGTTGCTTCAATGACACCTCACAACACTAATATGATACCAGTTCAACCTCAACAAGATTCAGTGTATTATGTTCATCCAAATGATAGACCGAATTCAGTTATAATTTCTCCCAGGCGTGATGAATCTAACTATGTTAGTTGGAGCAGATTCATGTGAAGTGCCTTTGATGAAAAGAACAAATTATCCATGGTTGATCATTCCATACTAGTACCAGATCATGATGATCTCAATCTTTCAGCTTGGGAAAGATGCAATCATCTAGTACATTCTTAACTCATTAATTATATTTTTGGTTCAATTGTACAAACGATCATGTTTGATGATAATGTAATTTAAATTTGGATTGATTTGAAAGAAAGATTTTCAATGATTGATTGAGTTAGAGCTTCAACTCTCCGATCTCAACTTAATTCCCTTATACAAGGTTCCAAAACAGTTCTAGAATATTTCACTAAGATGTAAGTTTTATGGGATGAATTAAGTATGCATATGTCAATTTCCTCTTGCACGTGCTTTCACTAATGCAAATGTGATGTTATACATTCATCCAAAAATTACATTATCGAATATCAAGCAATCAAGTTCTTAATTGTTTTAAATGACAGTTTTTGCAATTGTGAAGACACAAGTTTTATTTCTAGAAACCCTTCCTTCCATCAACAAAATTTATTCTTTTATTGCTCAAGAAAAAAAAACATGATTCCTACATCCAATTTTGAAGTCTCTAACCTCCTGGTAAATGCTTTTGATGCTAAAAGAGGCATTGGTCGAGGTAGAAGATCATTTGGTAAAAATAACTCCAAATTATGCACATATTGCCAAAAACATGGCCATACCATTGACTTTTGTTATCAAAAGTATAGTCACTGTAATATCTGATATAATTATCATCTAATGGATATCACTAATTAGATTTAGTGAGAATATTAGTTGATAAATTATATCAACACATTATTCATTTATTTATGTGAGGAAAAGAATAAATAAATAGATAAGGATATTATAGTAATTACACATTTTAAGTGGGATTATCTTAAAGTTTGTTTGTTCCAAAATAGATTCACATTTGGGATAAGCAAGGAACACGTGAAGAGAGAGAAAACAAGGAAGAAACTCCATCGTCAAATTTTCAAGTTCTTTAAGTTTTGCATGCAACCCATTCAAGACACTCTCATCGTCTTCTAATTTTGTTCTGGACAGCTTCTCCATCATCTTAATGAAGGCGAATCTCTAGATAGAGACTTGAGATCTTATTGGGGATTGCATGAATTGGGAAAATTTGGGATTTTAATGTGAGAAATACATGTTCATGTTGATTCTAGTGTTAGAATGTATGCATTTCTGACTATTTGGTATGATAAATCATGGATATATGATTTGGGATGATTATGGGTTGTTGTGGATGTTTGGGATAGGAAAGAATTGGTGTTATAGCAGAAAAAGCTGGTTTTTCGCAGGGGAAATCGGTTTCCAGTTTCAGGGGAACTGACTTCCCTACTGTGTTGGGCTGAAAATTTGAAACTTCGGAAATTCGTAACTTTCGCCTCGTGTATCAGAATGACGCGTGGTTTGTATCGTTAGAAAGCTAATTAAAATTAATTTCTAATAAATTTAGTTCCACAAATAGAATGTTTGATCTAAGATTATCGAAACCCCGCTTAGTGAGTTTTTCCGGGTAAAAAAGTTGCATGTTTAAATTCTCCAGAGTGCAGTTCTGTTCCGTTTAGGGGAACCGAACGCCTCCCTAGTCTACCATGACTTATGAGATGTGTTGAGAAATGTATAATGTCATATTAAGATCACTTGTATACTATTTTTATGAATATGTATGATGAATATAAATGCATTATGTTGAAATGCTATGTGGTGATCAATTGTTGTTTTCCCGTCTATTCTGGTTAAACGTTTTGAGGTGTTGCCTGTTTGGCTTGATGTGTATTGTGTTTTCTATGTATGCTTGAATCTAAGTAGGCCTGATCTACTAGGTGTTAAATCACATATAACCATGGTTGGGTCCAACTTTTTATCATTGCGATGTGTTGAAAGGGTCGGTTAGAGGTGTTTCCTTCAGCAGGTAAACATATGCGTTTTCGGTACGTCATACACACTTGAGCTATCACTGCGATGTGCTGAGCGGGTCTGAAAAGGCGTTTCCAACAGCGGATAAACATATGTGTCCTTGGTATGGTGAGTTTTTGATGGCATATAGGCAATATCACTTCGAAGCTTACTCACTTCTAGTGATGTCATGTAGGCAACATCACTAGGCTTTCACTCGGTTGGCTTGTGCAGTCACTATGGTGTATTTTCACTAACGATCACACATTTGCGTATGGATGGTTGACGGGGTCGTGACGTCACATAGACCATGTCACTTTGTATCTACCCATCACAGATAGAGTTCCATTTAGGATTGATCTGATACATCTTGCGAATGTGCTCGTGCAAGTCTCTTAACGCTGGGTACTTGGTGACTCATTGAAGGTGTGTTTTGTGTGGCCTAGATAGGAAGGCTGAACTTACTTCTGGATTCCTCGTACATGAGTACGGGTCTGCATACTGTTTGTGTTTGGTTGTGTGCCTGATTTCTGGATACTTTATTGGTTAGTCAAGGGACTTCTGATGGAGACGTTATCCTCTTGTTATGTACTTGTACCTAGTCGTAAGGAAAACCCCGGATCCACGGTGGACCCGTTTTTGTTGCATGCACCCTGTAGAACTGATTGAAACCTTAAGATAAAGGGACTCACTGAGACTTAGTAATCTCACCCCATTTCAATTTTTTTCCAGGTTGTTCGAGGCAGGATCGAGGCAAGGGTAACAAGACTTAGTCTTGCAGCCATGTTTCTTGGCGATGTTTTGTTTCTTTGTATCTTTTTGCTTATGTACCTTTGAATCATGTATTAGTACTTTTTTGGGATTTTTATCTTTTCGATCATGATGTTTTCAGCATTGTATTTTGTAGTAATACTTATTATGTTCTATTGCTTATGTGTGATATTCAAGTACCGATATAATGCCATATATGTATTATCCTAGGCAATGATATATGTGGGGTTTTACAGTTGGTATCAGAGCATGTTGATTCTCGGATTTGCCATGAAACATCATAAGTCAGCTTAATTCTGCCTCATATGTGTAACTTTCGGCATGATTCCTTATGTCTTACTTATGGCATTAAGTCTAATCACTTAGTTCTATGTGTAGGTGTTGGCTGAGATTTTCGACAAAGACTAAAATTCAACCAAGAGAAAAGAATCCAAGAAGGTTCTTTGAAAAGGTAAAATCATCTAAGTCGATTACAAATGTAGTCGACCAGAAGAGACCCCTTAAAATATGCAGTACTCGCGAGTTTTCCTCGCTCTCACTTTTTTGCAAAACAAAGATAGATTTTTTATATCCTGAATTCTTAACAATGTTCACCCCACTTCAGCCCCTTTTTTATAGACTTTTACGTGATAGATTTAAATAGAACATGCCTTTTTTGCCACCTTATTGAAAAAACATTTCCCTTGTAGAAAAGGATGAACGCTCGATTCAAACAAATACACTTTGAAAAGCGGAGAGATTGAAACGGAAAGCACTGCAAAACGACAGCGTTTGAACTACCGCAGGAACCTGTGAAACCTCGCTCTCTCTCTCTCTGTAACCTAACTCAGTTCAATTCAATTCTGATAAACCTTCAAGCCATCACAAACAAACAAATCCCAAAACCTTCAGCGATATTCATCAATGGACGTAAAGGCTTTGGCAAAATCAAAGCGAGATCACACACGACAACACAACAAAAAGTATCACGGAAATCCAAAGCTCAAAGTTCAACCACACTCTTCGTTTTCTTCTTCAGTCCCAACCAAAACGACGACGCCAAAAGAGCCATTCAGAAAGCAACAAGCAATTGAGAAGAAAACCAATCGATCGGGCTCTTCCGCGCTTCCCGAAATTGGGACCGATATGAAGAAGAGGATTCGGATTTTGTTCCTGAAAGTTCAAGCAAAACCCTAGATGTTCTTGTCCCCAAAAGTAAGGGCGCTGATTTTCGCCATCTTGTTGCGGAGGCTCAGTCTCATGCAGACAAAACCCTCGAGGACTTCAATGAAGTTCTTCCTTGTATGTTGTTTATTGTTTGCTTCACTGTTAATTGGATATCTGTGATTAATGTTGGATAATGATGATAATTGAGCAATTTGTGATCAAGTAATTGATCACTGATACATTTTGTTTAGGATTAATGCTGTTGAGATTATTTTTTGCAGGGGAGTTTGGTGTGGGATTAAGCTCTATACTTTCGGTTAGAGGAGATGGCATTGTTTCATGGGATGGGGATGATAATTTTGTTGTACAGGATAAGACTATTGCAAATCAGGAGGTAATTTGTTTATTTCATTAACTAGTATTGATATCATTATACAAAAGATCACATGTTTACCAATTCCTTTTGAATGTGGTAGAGATAGTTGTCATCATGTAAGGTTTTAAACATACTAGTACTAGTAGTGAGTGCTTCTTTATAGAACATAAGTATCTGTAATAAATCAATGTATATTTAGTAGTAAGCCGAAATAATATGATATTAGGAAGCACTTTTTTGGTTAGATGAAAAAGATACTCCTGTCCAATACCAATAACCCTCATAACCCTTCGAGTTGGCGGAGGATTGTGCTAAATTTAGTCAAACTCTCTCGGACACCTTCGTGCCTCGACAACTTTAGCAACTACATTATCCTCCTCACTATTTTAGAAACAACAACATTTGTTTGTGATTATGATTACTTTGTTGAAAATCATCATCATCAGAAGCAACTTGTCCTCAGTTTCCTCCTTTATTGTCACTTTCTATAGCGCTGTAGGGACATCAGATTCATCTAAAGGTGTAACTAATTTGGCACTAGTACGACTAGTTTGATCAATATATATCAAATCTTCATCTACATGGATAACACTTGCATTTTCTTCATCAGTTTCCTACAACAAATCCTCATCATCTTGAAAATCATCCATGGTTAGATCTCGTTTTTTTTCCTTTCAACCTGGTTCTTGGTCAATCTTGTATTTACCATCAGATATACGAGATCATTCATAGTCTTTTGCTTTAACTGATTTCTATTCTTGCTATGGACCTAAAGAGATGAATTATTAAATTGAAATGCATAACATATAATAGGTATAAAAATTATATTTGATGAATTTAACAAACTTTTGCAACTTTGGGTATGCATAACTGTAAGAGTGTTGAGCTTGACCTGCGGTTTTTCAGGCTCTTAGAGGAGTTGTAGTGTCTTTGAGATCATATGTTTTTAAGTTCATCATTTATAATTTTTATAGCTAATATGTGTTATACATCTCTTTAGATCCATACCAAAAAAAAGAAATTAATTAAAGCAAAAGACTATGAATAATCTTGTGTATGGTATGATAAGATTAACCTATAAAAAGGTTCAAAGGTAAAAAAACGAGAGTTAAGCATTGATGATTTCCATGATGATGATTGGTGCTTTGTAGCTGAGAAAGAAAATGCAAGTGTTAGTCATGTAAACATGGTTGATCTAGATGAAAATTTGATGCATATTGATCAAATTGGTTGTACTAGTGTTAAATCAGTTGCACTTGTAGATGAATTTGATGTCTCCAAAGCTATAGAAAGTGACAATGAAGGAGGACTGTGGGTGGATGAGATTAATGACGATGAACGAGTTGATACTATGGGGGACAATGAAGGAGGAATGTTCTAGCCTCCAACCTAAGTATTGTATTTTGTGGACTTGGTGGTTTTATGTGTAAGATTTAAGACTTGGTGGTTTTATGTTTAAGATTTGAGACTTGGTGGTTTTATGTTTAACAGGTGAGCTTATGCACTATTTAATATATTTTTGTTTTGGTAGCATCTTGCTACCCCTCTCGATCCTATAAAATTAATTGGGTATGATCTTTGATCTTTCGATTTTAGTTACGATCTTGTTGCCCCTTCCCGATCTTATACAAGATATCGATTCTGATAACCTTGGAATTGAAGGTCAGTAGTATAAACCCATGTTGTACTGTGGAGAGTCTATGTGAGGAAAAATAATAGGAAGATAATGATGAGGTGGCAGAAAATGTTTCTTTACTTTATACCATTATTATTATTATCCATATATGTTTAGTTCTCTTACTAATTAATGATTTGGAGATTCTGATTTCTAACAAGTTATTCCAACTTTGTTTTGTATTTTTCCTTACTTACCATGAAATGGGTTTTGATGCAGGCATCGTTGATTTCCTTGAATTTGCATGCTATTGCTCAAAAGCTTGCAAAAGTTGACTTATCTAAGAGATTATTTATTGAGCCTGATCTGTTGCCCTCTGAGTTGGTATGTCTATCCTCTAAATTGTTCTTGAAAATTATGCGTCTGCCTCTTCGCAAATCTTTTTACATTCAAGTTAAATCTTATTTCATAATATTTCTTTTTTACATACCTCAACTTTTCTTAATTCCATTTCCCCAATTTTTTCTCTGCATGCGTCACTAATATTTTTTCCTTCATGTTTTATTTGCTTCAGATTTTATTTGTTATCTGATTGAAACTATAGTGTTATAATACAGACCAACACAAAGTGATAACTAAATTATAGCAATAGAAAGATTTACTCAGGTTCACTTAAGTATGTTTGTGCTCCGGTGTTTCCCTACACATGGGAATTGTAGAATTCTAATATGCTTTTTCTTTGCAATTTTTTTTAATGCTTACACTAATAATTACAAAAACATTTCATTTTCTCCATTTTTCTTGTACAATTTTTTGAATTCTGTAAACAAAAGAGAAAACATTGCGGCATTTTAGTTATTATTAGTTTAAGGGTCTTGCTAATGAGTGTCCTAAGGGCACTCTTTAAGGATTCCAAATAACGGACTTATTCTTTAAAATAAGTTGAACATTTCAATTTCCAATTAACCGAATACACAAATTTCCATAAAAACTTACTCTTTTAAGCCCTTAAAGAATGCCCTTAGGGCACTTGCTAGCATTTCCCTTAGTTTAAATAGAAAATGTTTTGGTTGTCGTACTTGTAACTGTTGTTTTGCTGCTATAAAATAATTTAGTGCAAGCCAAATTTAGCCTCATTGTCTTTCTAGTTTAAAAAACCATTTTTGTACATTCTGTGATACAAAGCGCTATTTATGAAACATTATTGTTCTTCTGTAACATGAAAATACAATTGTGAATTGGAGTTAACTGTTGATAAGGCGCGAGTCATATTGTAGTACCCTAGTGTATGTAGAATCATGAGTCAAAGGCGTAGGATTGCATGATCTTATGTTCAAGGCTTCCGTGGTGGTATGCGAGTGAAACCAGGGAAAACTGAGTTTGCTGAATTGTTTAGTGTTTTGCTGAATTAAGCTGGTTTTATTTGAAGAAAAAAGCCCTATTTTTTTAATAAAATGGATCTGGGTCGATTTTTGAAACATTCTTGAGGCTTCTCGATTCTGCTCTGTTTCTTCACTTATCTTGACCTTCTCGTCCCAAACGACAACCATTTACGACTCATGTCAATTCTCTTCTGACGACTGTCTTTGTGACACTGTGCCTTTCCTTCTCGCCACCTGTGACACGTCATCCTTCTTCCTTTTTCTGTTTCTGATCATTCCTCTTCTCTCTATCGTGCCAGCTTGGTTTGGTTAGATCTCGTCTCAGTTGGGATTTAGGATTTAAGTAAGAATTGGTCCAGATGGACCCTAAGGGTTTTTCCCCTTTTTTTCTTTTGATAAATCAAGTCTTTGTATCATCAATTGACCTTGTTTTTTTAATTTAATTGCCATTGATCCTGTTTAACTTTTTCTATTCAATGCATAATAACACTGATGGAAAAAACTAAATAATAACAATATAAGTAACTATATATACACACAGACACACACAAAGTGTAGTTTAGTATCTCTTTTGATTATTATTTTTTTAGTTTAGTTTGATGCTATGATTAGAGACTTATTTGTCTTTGCTATATGATTTTCATGCATGTGTAGATGTATAATTTGTAATTTAGATTGGGCCATACGATCATCAAATTACGATCTTTTAACCTCATCCCGATCTAGCATGGACTCTCGATTTTTAAAATATTGATTACTAAACCATGACCATATGTGCTTTTATAAGATTGACTATATGATTTACTGCCTGTCTCATTGGTGCACGCATGACTATGATCATGCAGTGCTATAATGGTAGAAACAACCATGATTTATGAAGTCAAATAATCCACGTTCCTTCCGGGTAGAAATAGCTATTATGTGGATGGAACACTAATATGAGTATCATGTAACTGTTGACATTTGGTATTTTAAGTTAAGAATCATTTTATAAATTCAATATATTTCCCTGTAAAGTCCTTAAATAAGCTGGAGGATAGACTTAAAAAAAATTTTATGTAGTATTGAAATTTATATTTGCTGTATTGATGTGGTAGTTTTTACAGCGTGTGGAAGACTCTGCAGTAAGCAACAAGGAAGAACCTGAACTTGACAAACAGGAAACTGTAGTGGACCATGAACTAGCTAAGAGGATGTCTAAAGAATTAAATGTAGATGATTCTGCAGCAGATCAGTTTACATCATCTAGTTCATGTAGTAGCAGCCATACCACTTCTATATCTGCCTTGTCCGATGACATTCGCGTTCCTGTGAACAACGGTAATATTGATTTTCAGCAGGTTGGAAGTTGTGTTAAAAATAAAGAATTGCAGAGTGCAGAAACTAATTTACTTTCATTAAAGATACAGTAGGGAAACACTCAACATTTGAGGCAGCTGCTGAATTGGAACTGGATATGCTTCTAGATACGCTTGATGAGTCCAAATCCAATGCTTCATTTACTGCTCCGTTCAGAGTCTCTTCTAAAGAACATCCTGAGATTTCAATTAAAGAACCAGTTTCAGCCAGAATTGCATCAATTACTGCTAGTCTAGATGATGCACTTGACGACTTGCTAGAGGAAACATCCACTTTGACGAAGCCAAATGTTTTATCACGGCCACAAGAAGAAAAGCCTGTCAACCCCAGCGTGCTCTCTTCACAATCCCAAAACAAGTCAAAAGTTGTCGATGATTTTGATTCATGGTTTGATACGCTTTGATTAGTGAAGTGCCATAATTCTTGCTGATGTATACTGTGATGTGTTACTAGCTGGTTTTGAGAGTGGCCTGGTGAATGAAAAATGGCATTCTTTTTTATCTTATACTCTGAAATCTGATCCAATTTGGTCGTGGTTTAAAACAGTGTACTTGCAACTCTAACCATCGTGTACAGAATTTAGTGCATGAAACACTTCAACTCTTTCGTTCAAAGTTATTGATTCATGGTTCAGTCTAATTAACAATATCTTCATGCAAAGGAAGGATTCACCGACAATCAGTGTTTTACAATACATTCCCTTTAAAACCTCAGGTTAGGCATATAGTTGTTACTTAGCCAGAAATGAGGAAGATATTTAAAGTTCAAACTTACCGATGGCTAGAGTCATATTATGTTAGGATATAGTTTCAAATCATAGTTTGTTTTGACATGAAAGTATTCTTCTTTTACTTTTGGTTAAATCATGGTTTAGCATTATCATTTCCGTTTATTGTGATTTTGCCTAATATACTACTATTTTGTTAGAAATCCAATTCATACTAAGATTTGGGAGGTGGAAAACACAATTTAAACATGGCATAGTTAATGCTACGTTGCTGTCTTAGTAATTGATAGCTTTATTTTTTATAACTTATCAAAGTTATTGATAGTTTGATAGTCAGTAAGTTTATAAATTTGAACATCTATATTCACATAGGAAGACTTGTCTAAAATGTTAAATAGTATTCAGACATTTTTTCCATTGCATAATTATATATTTATATCTGGTTAAATACTTCCTTGGATCCTTTTTAATTGTCATTTTTTGATTTTTTGATATTTTACAAATACCAAGACAACTAATGAAATATTATTACTTTTTAAACAATGATTATTTTTTTTCTATAATATTCTTAACTTTTTAATAGTTTATTTAACTTTTTCCCTTTCTATGATAATGATTAGGATAATTTTGTCAAAACTATAATTAATATTCTCTTGAATTTTGAAATATGACACTTAAAAAAAACAAGTTTTTTTCTAAAAAGTAACACTTAAAAAAGACCAGAGGGTAACATATTACAAGTTTAATAACATGAACATATATATTTTTCAAAAATATCAATTTTTATATAATATTTTCTTCGTTTCAAAATGTCAGTTGTTTTATTAAATAAAATTTATTTTAAATTGACTGTCATTTTCATTTTTTAATATAGAAATTATTGTTATTTTTTCAATTGTATCATTTAGTTATTATTTTTTACACTTATTTCAACATATTAATAGGATTAATTTGATAAAAGTAAAATAATTTATGACAACATCATTGTATTTTTTAATTGGTGTGCAAAAATCTTAAAAGGAAAGTTATTTTAAAATAGAGAGAGTATTATAATACAAGTAAAAAAAGTCAGAGAACTTGAGGCGGCAAATAGTCTTCTATCTGTTTGATACGTACATGGATTGACATTAGAGTTGCTTGTGGAGCTGAAGTTCACGTAGGACCGTTATCTGCCAGAATGACAACTCTTGTCAAATCTAACAACTCAACGGGTAAATATCCTCTCTGTTTCTAAATAAAAGAAAAGAAAAGAGATCCTCTCTACATCTCAGTGGATCATTTCCTTAAATGTGTAACAGTACATTCCACAAAAAAAAAACTTTGCACATTTTAAATTATTTAAGAAATTACCTTTTTTTGTAAATACAAGTTAAAATGGTAAATACACAATTTTATATGCAAAATCTTTTGATTACATAGACCGTCTGAAGATGATTCTAAATTTGCTTTGCATTTTAAATTTGTTAAAGAGATAGTAGTCCTATTAGTTTATTAAAAGAGCGAATCTGAATGTTATAAAAAAATTCAGTTTAAGAAAATTTGTTTGCCTAGGTGATTCGTATGAGCTTATTTATAATAAAATTATATATATATATATATATATATATATATATATATATATATATATATATATATATATATATATATATATATATATATATATATATATATATATATATATATATATATATATATATATGAATTTAATTGTTATGTGATCGTACCTGACCAGAAGGAATTGTCAAAACCTTCAAATTTCGAGCCGAGCAGCAGTGAAAGGTGAAGTGGGGGATACCTGCAAGACACTTTGATGCCAAAGTGAGGTCCAAAGCTTATGCAAGTAAGTGAGTATGAGAGTGAGAACGAATCAATACCCGACCCTCTCTTGTGAGAGGGTATTTATAGCCTCCAGCGTTGGGCCAAAGTCTTTAATGTTAGGCCACGATGAGGCCCAACAACAAAGACTGTCAGGGCTTACGTGTGTATAGAGTCCAGTACGTGGCCTCTTTCCTGGTCAACTGTTCCGAGAAAACAAGTGTTGGACCCTTGATTTCCGAGGGGCAGTATGATGACGATATAGACACGTGGGCAACCTCTTCCTAGCGGAGAGGTGGGAAAATGTCCAACAGTCTCCAGCTTGGGCTGCATGCCTTTGAGCTTTGGACAAATGTGCTTGATTGGGCCTCCCCAACGATGGGGCAAGTGCTGGCCCAGTCCAGAACAGGAGCCCCCAAGTTATTATTCTTAGGTGAAAGGATGATAACTTAAGTTCAGCTTCACTGTCAGGGAACACTCGCCAGAGAAGGGAAATCGTAACCCTCCAACGAGGATAATTTGTTCATTCGTTTCGGGAATAGCAGGTTGACCCGCGTCTGGGATAACTGGTTGACCCGTGTCGGGGATCCCAAAAACACGCGGGTTGCACGGTCTACTAGATCATTTGTCTGTTTGGTGCCCGTCAAGAATATGTAGGGTACTAGGAGTTTCCCTGAGTTTTCTTTTTCGACGTGCCCGTTCACAAGGTGTCGCTACGATGTCGAGCGTTACCTCGCTCCCGCGAACGAAATGTGATAAATGTGTCCGTATGTAAGGTTTAGTCACGGGATCGGGCGTTTGCCCGTTATTGAGCGTGCAACGTCTTCAACGTGCCCGAGGATAATGTTTCGTATTGAAGTCGGGGATAAGTTCGCCTTCAAGAGGGGGCACGTGGCTGCTTGTTAACGCCATGTGGTAGCTGTTTTGGGGTGCCATCTTTTTGTAGGGGAGTTCAAAAGGCCCAAAATAATGATGATTTTTCGTGTGCAGCCTCGTGGAGTGTGAACCATCTATAAAAAAAAGGACCTCAGGGTTCATTTATTAATTTCAAGCTTTCTTCTGCACTCTTCTCCATTCGCGCGTGGATCCCCTCCTCCTAGCTTCTTCATAGAATTCTTCAAAGACATTCTTTATTCAAGTAAGTCATGTCCTCTTGATAACATGTTTTCTTAGAATTTTTAGATTAAACACCCAGCTTTTATCTTGGGTGGATGAATCTTGGATAAACATTCATGGATTCTGGCATGAACATTCATGAATGTTCATTGAAGTTCATGGTAATGGATGAAGTTCATAGCATCAGGGTTATCCTCCCCGAATAGTATGGTGGATTCGGGCATATATGCCCGTTTGACCAAATGTCCCCAAATAGGACACGATTTGTCTCAGTGTGGCTGTCGGGGGCTTGGGTTGAGGTCCGTTCCTCGACGGATTCATCGCCCTTTCACTTGATTTACGGTGGAATGGTGAATTTGTTGATGTCGAATTCACTGTTTTCCTCTGCTTTTCAGGTATAATGGCATATCCAGTCGAGGAGGACGTTGTGCCCGCCAATCGTGAGGACAGAACTAATGTCGTAGATGACCCTTTGGCATGGGTTGCGCACGAACCTAGAAATAAAAGGTTGCATTTCTTGCATGATGCGTCAGATGCATTCAACTTCCCGGAGGTTCGAGCAAAGGGGGCCCCTACCAATTGGGCTATACAAATCCCTCATCGAAATAGGAAGATATGCGCATCATATCCGGGCAAGCGCTTCTCTATGTATGAATTTTCTTTCAAGGAGGCGGGGATGCGTTTGATATTTAATGACTTCCAAGTGAGGGTTTTCCAATGGTTACAATTGGCACCCTTCCATCTTCACCCGAATGCGCTTGCGTTCATGCGAGCATTCGAGCTCGTCTGTCAATATCTTCAAATAGGCGCCACACTGTCCCTCTTTTTCTGCATCTTCCATTTACAAAGGCAGTCCATCGGAGGGAGGAAAGCCTGGGTGTCTTTTAAACAGTTTGGGAAGCTTTTCCAGCCATATTTGGAATCTGTTCTCCATTTCAAAGAGAGGTACTTTGTCATGAAGCCTCTCACATACAAGTCTGTAACTTCCTTACACGATTGCTCGGAAGAGATGGAGGAAGGTTGACCAGTAGTCCGGTTGATGGACATATTTTCGCTTGAATGGCAGTGGAAACATTTAGAGCAAAATCTCGAGTACTACGCGGTGAAACCCGAGGACTTAGATGACCAGGATCAACTCTCCTATGAGAAGCTGGCGTCTTATGTTAAGAGTTTCTCACCAGCGAGGCGCGTGGACGTGAACAACAACCTCCTCTTTGATGATAAAGGGGAGTATGTCCTCGTTAATAGGTTGATCAATACGAAAGCTTTGCTCGAATATTCTTCAGACGAGGAGGCTTTGAGGCTTTTAGGTAGGGTATATGGTCGTGACCATATCTATATGTGTTTAGCTTTTATGCAGAGGACATGCCCGCAATATCGTCTTTATTTGGGTCGTGACTAACAATTTATTTATGATTGCAGGTCGGATGGCGTCCCTTTTTGAGCATCTACTAAAGTTGAGGCCCAAGAATGCTTCCACCTTGGGGCCTAAGAATAGGATCACTCAACTTCAGGAGCAGGCCAAATCTTCTGCCAGAGTGAGGGGTTCCCCTTCTTCCTTGAAGACCCAGGTTCCTCCTCCCAAACCACCGGTAAAGAGGAAGCGTGTGGAGGATCCTGAGCGGGTTGCACCCGAAAGTGATAAAGGGGTCAGGGCAGTTTTTGTGTTTCCTCCCTGTTATCTCAACCATGATATTTTCAGCGAAGAGAGTTCCCTAGGTCTGCACGAGGAGGAGACTAAGGAT